TAGACGGCTTCTCCTATTCCACCCCTCCCACACACAAGATCTCATGTACCTCAAACTAGCCTCCAACTTGCTATTCAGCTGAGGATAACATTAAACTTTTGTTCCTTCAGCCAGTTTTCACCTCTCTGGTGCTGGGGTTATAGAAGTGTAACACTGTGCCCAGTCTATGCAGTGTTGTGGATCAAGCCCACAACATTCCAGGCAAATATCCTACCAAGTGAGATAGCCCCCCCTCTTTTTTTTTTCCTGATTTTACTTTATTTACTTATTTGCTTGATTGCATTTGTTTTTCACGAAAAGTCTCGTGTAGCCCAGGCTCCCCTGGAGTTCACAAAGCCAAGAATGTCTCTCCCTTCTGATCATCTTGTCTGCACCTCTGAGCCCTGAGGTCACAGGTGTGCACACTACACCCTTTTCAGCTATGCAGTCCTAGAGAAGAAACAACTGGGACTCTATAATTCGGGGTGTTAAGTCTATTCACAACGGCGTGCGACCACAGCCACACTCCGTCTCCAAAGCTGTTCCTTTTTTCTTGCTGAAAGCCTGCACTCAGTTATTTATGTATTTACTCGGTTATTTATGTTGGCTCATAGTACAAAAGCACATTCAGTTCCTCACGGCTAGGAAGAAAGCAGGACCTTGAAGCAGCTGCTAGCACGTGTTTTGTTTTGTTTTTTTGCTAGTTTATATCTCCAAGAATATCAGGAGAGCAGAGGAAGGATCAGCACGACTGAAGGAATCGGGCATGAAAGAGGTATGTTAAGAAGAATGGGCTGAGCTAGGCATAGCGTTGAACAACTATAATCTCAGCACCCAGGAAGTGGAGGCAGGCAGATCTCTATGAGTTCCAGGCAAACCTGGACTACAAAGAGAGTCCAGGACAGCCAAGGCTACACAAGGAAACCCCATCTTGAAAAACAAAAGAAAAAAAATCAATCAATCAGTCCCGGGCTGGAGAGATGGCTCCGGGCTAAGAGCACTTGCTGTTCTTGCAGGGGATTCAAGTTCAGCCCCCACATAGTTCACAACCGTCTGTAGCGTCAGTTCCAGGAGATCTGATGCCCTCTTCTGACATCCGTAGGCACTGTACTCACCCGGTGCACAGACAGACATACACACTAACTGTTTTTTAAATATCACACTCATCGCCTACTTGGACCAGGCACCCACACATACAGTCTTTCCCTTGTCCTACATGTTTTGGCGGTCCGTCACAGAGCATGGCCGTTGTGCAAGTCCATTCAGTATCACATGCCTTTCTCCCCTTTATCTTGCACAGGTCCTTACAAGCACTTCCATTCCCAGATTGTCAGGCTCTGTCTTTCAGGAAGTCACTTCGTCTATTTTCCCCCACTTAGGAGCTGTGCTGATCAGGCTGTGGAGATGGCTCAGCTGGAAAAGCACTAACTAACACAACCGAAGTTCAGTCCTCAGAACTCACATGAAAAAAGGCAGGTACGGTGGCATGGAATCCTGGTGAGGCAGAGACAGGCAGATCCCTGTGGCTACTCAGCCTAACCAACTTGGCAAGTCTCAAGCCACAGAGAGAGACACTGTTTTCTGAGTGTAAGGCTGTCTGGTACATACATGCGCGTATGTACGGTGTGGGCCAGAAGAGGGCCTGGGATCCCCTGGAACTGGAGTTACAGTTGTGAGCCAACATGTGGGTGCTGAGAATTGAACCCAGGTCCTCTGTGTTGTAACCCGATTAACCAGCTTAAACTCCACAGGTGAGACCACTTTAGTTCTAAGCATAATAATAGCTCCTCTGTTAACACCTACTGTCACCTTTAGCTTATCAGAAATCATTTTGCCTCAAACTCTCCATTTTGATGATAAGGCGAAATTAAGTTCAAATTCTCAGGTCCCACGTGACTGAGATCAGGATACAATTCAGTAGTTCAATTCTTGTTGCTAGACTAAAACAATAGATGATAAATGCATGTTCTGTGAGTTAAAGATAAATGTATGTTCTGCTAGCAGCATCCTGCTATGTTCCTTACTTCCAGAAAGCTGTATAGCCCTCAAGAGCTCCCCTACCCTAAATCACAGCCAATTAGTTTAAAATGCTTTGTCTAGCTACCTAGATACAATATGTTTAGCTAGTCAAAATGATATAATGCTGCTCCCTGCTCCCACTTCCTATACCTGGTTACCTGGTTATGGTTTTTCATATTAAAAAAAAAAAAATCTACCTTAGAAACAGTCCGGAGTCCAGATTATGTCCCTGACCAGTCAGTCTTTGTTCAGCACTCAATAAACTTCCATCAGTCTGAGTTTGGTTTTCAAGAGGTTGGTATGTGGCTTTTCCTGAACCCAGAACACTCTGCAAGAGCAAGTGTTCTTAACTGCTGAGCCATCTCTCTAACCCCTAAACTAATTTTTATTTTTTGTTTCTTTGTTTTGGTTTTTTTTATTTTTATTTTATTTTTTTAATTTTAAAGACAGGGTTTGTGTAGCCTTGGCTGTCCTGGACTTGCCTTATAGACCATGCACATGTAAATGTTTATGAATTAAAAAAAGACTCTGATCCAGGGCTGGAGGAATAACTCTGTGGTTGAGATCACATGGTTACTTTTGCAGGACTTGGGTTCGGTTCGTAGATGCCTCACATCCATCCCCAACTCCAGTTCCAGGGCCTCTGAATGCCCTCCTCTGACCTCAGACATCATGAGAAAATTATACAGTGCACATACATATATGTAGGCAAAACACAAAACAAAAATTTCACAAAACACAAAACAATAAAAATCTGATATGCTTCTGGTCCCAGGTATTTCAGATAAGGGGTCCTCAATCCATTCTGAGTTTTTTAGTTGGTTGGTTTGGAACTCCTATATGTATGTATTTGAGGCAAGGACTTATTCTGTAGCCCAGGCTGACCTGCAACTATGTGGCCCTGTCCGGTCTTGAACTTGAAACAATCCTCCTGCCTCAGACTCCCAAGTGCTAGCAGATGCAAACCAGGAAAACGTGGTTGTATGCTGTATTCCATTTTGCATAGCACCCTTTACCACTGACCATTTTCCTGCCACTTGCTCTAACCTCAGATGTAGGTAAAGGCTCTGGTCTCACAGCCTCTGCTTTCTGAGCTCACCACCCATGGTGGGATTTTTGGTCCTTAGACAAGAGCCTCCCAAAGAATCGAATATACTTTCCCCTTGCTGTGACTCAGTCTCTCCTATGTGCCGTATGAACTTTCCCACAACCTCCAGTGTATTAGAAATATGTGCAAGTTGTTTTTTGCTGCCGGGTGTGGTGGTGCGTATCTTTAACCCCAGCACGCTGGCAGCAGAGACAGGTGGATCTTATGAGTTCCAGTCTGCTATACCTGACTGTACCTCAGAAATATGTTGTAGTACTGGAGTTTGAACACAGAGCCTTGTATATTGACAAGTGCTCCAACACTGAGCCCTTTTGCTGCCACACACACACACACATATATATATGTATATATACACATATATATCTATGCCAACACATGTTATTAATGTGGATGTGAGATTGTGTGGCCCCAACGCACTTGTGGATATGTTTTTTGTTTTTAGTTTTTTGAGACAGGTTTTCTCCGTGTAGCTGTCTCTGTCGTGGAACAAGCTGTGTAGACCAGGCTGACTTTTGTCTGTTTTTGTTGTTGTTTTGTTTTCGAGACAGGGGTTCTCTGTGTAGCCCTGGCTGGCCTTGAACTCAGAAACCAGGCTGCCTTTTGTCTCCCAAAGGTTTTTTTGTTGTTGTTGTTTTATTTTGTTTTGTTTTGTTAGAAGCTGAGTTAAACTGATGCCTTTATTCCCCGTAGGAGAAAATCGGGCCCTAAGGGAGATGATTCAAACAGATCCCTTTATTCCCCGTAGGAGACAATATGACCCTAACGGAAGCGATTCACTAATGGAAAACAAACAAAACAAAGCGAACCATTCCTGCGAGTGCTGGAAGGCAGAACCGAAGGTTTGGAGAAAAAGCCAAGCACAACCTCCAGCCTGCCCACCTCTTCCCCAGCCCAAGCGCCTCATGCTCTCTGACTCCGCGCAGCGGAATATCATCCTATTCGGGTGGCAAACAGCGCCACCCAAAGAGCACGGGGCCTGGGGGCAGGGAAACGAACCACCCGCCCAACCGAGCGAGGAGAGGTGAGGCGCGCACGCGCAGCTCGGCTTTATGCACGGCTTTATTTCGTCACCGCGACTCCGAAGCGCGCGTCTGTTTCTTAAGCACGCCCGACCCCTCGGCCTTGCGCATCTTCCTCTGCCAGGCGCGCGCTGCGGTCGCGGGGTCGGCAACCGCATCCACCTTCTTCTCCAGCAGGTACATGCGCGCCGTGGTCTCGGTCAGCATATCCATGAGCAGTTCTTGCTGCAGCTTCAGGTAGTTGTTCTCCTCCAGCAGCGCCTGGCTCTTCATCGGCTGCGGCTTCCAGGCCGGGCGGGCGTTCGAGGACAGGGGCGTGCGCGCGCGTGCGCGCTGCCCCTCCGCGCTCCAGCGGCCGCCACGGAACACGAAGGACTCGTCGCTCAGCCGGGTGCGCGGCGCGCCGTAGCTCAGCCCCAGCTCGGCCTGGCGCGTGCGATGGTCCAGCAGATAGAAAGTGGACAGGGATGAGATGCGGCGCAGGGGCGGCCTCCGCGGCGAGAAGCGGCGCGAGAAGTGGTCGGCCCAGAACTGCCGCAACTGCTCACACAGGCGGCCCGCGTAGCTCGTGGCCAGGCACTCAAAGGTCTCCAGGGTGAAGCGTGGGTGGGCCACGCTGGGCGCGCCGGTGTCTGGAGCTCTGCTGTCCTGGAATGATGAAGGCGAGCCAGTGGTGGCACTGCTAAAAAGCAAATGGCCGGTGAGCGGCCAGGATAGCCAGTCCCCAACCCCGAACCTCCAGGGTATCTGAGGTCCTGTAGTTGCAGGCCACTGGGAGAGCCCTGCACAGTCACACCAGCTGCATCCACCAAAACCACCTCCACCAGGACCCTTTATTTGTGGGTGTGTAAGAGAATGCATAGGTAAAGGCCTGAGAACCCCGTTCTCTGAGATGCACCTGACAGAGACCACAGGTGGGGATCAGTAGCCAAGCAAATAGAACAGGCCCGTGCTAGGAGGAATGGGAATGTAATGGCGACCTGTGAGGCAGTGTGACTAGTGGGGCAAGGCTCATGTTCCAGGTGTGTGGCAGAGCCTGGGGATAAGGGTTGGTTCTTGGAATAGCAGAAAAGTAGGCTAGAAAGGTGAGCCAGGGCATCCTTAGGTGCAGGACAGGGAAGCTGGACAGTCGTCATTCTTTAAGAATGGCTGCTGAGGGTCGCAAAGCCGGGGTTCGGAAGGATCTGCAGTGTGTCTGGGAAGGTGTCTAGCATAACTGCGTCTCTGAGTTGTGTGATATTCTTAACACTGGCACCTGCTTGCTCCATGCCAGGTCTGGCCTGCATGGAAGATACCACCAGTACAAGCCTTTGTCCACCCTCAAGATGCTCCTGGCCCAGCTGGGAAGATGTGTGTTGAAGTCCAGGATGGTCATTGACACCCTCCTGAGACAGGTGCCTAGTCCTATGCTGAGCTTTAAGGGAACTGGGATTCTGCGTTCATTCTACCTCAAGGAATCTAAAGCCCAGATAAAACTACCAGGTTCCATTCTTCCTGCTTCTTATCTCTTTTCCCAATATCTACAAAATGCTGCTTCTCCCGTGTGTTCTTGAATACCTCTCCTGCCCATGGTGGGAGTAAAGAGAGATGCAGGCAGGGTTCTCTCTGCCACACCTTCATTAAATCAACACACGCCTCTGCAAAGGTGGACAGAGGCAGGCTGATTCCCGCCTTATAGTTCATGGAGACTGTCTCCAGAAGTACCTACACATCCATCCTTGAGGTCACAACTGCCCAGAAGACTGTTCTCTGACACTCCTTGCTAGGTGTTCCTCACCTGGAAGATGATGTGGAGGTGCCCGAGCTGCTGTCCCAGGCCTGGCCCCATTTCTGGATCGCCTCACCCCACTTGTCTGCCGGCTGTGACTCACAATGCCTCCTGGCCAGGCCTCCTAGGGTGGAAGAGGCGCCGACAGTGAAGTGTGTTCAGTCAGGTGAGATGATCAACCATTTACTGCCCTCCAGGCACTGTCCAAGGAGAGTGAAGGCATTCTGTCACTAAATATTGCTCCTTGTCTTGTTGATGTCTTTGTTTTGATTGGGGCGCTTTTGAGACAGGGTAGCCCTACTCTGTAGCCCATAGTCTTACCGTGTAGCCCAGGCTAATAATCCTTCTGAGCCGGCCAGTGGGAGGTACACGCCTTTAATCCCAGTACTCCAGAGGCAGGTGGATCTCTGAGTTAGAGGCCAGCCTGGTCAACACAGTAAGTTCAAGGACAGCCAGGACTACACAGAGAAACTGTGTCTCCAACAACAACAAAAAATACTGCTTCACACTTTAGCCTTCCATCTGGATCATAGGCATAAGCCACCATGTTCTTTTTGTGTTTGTTTGTTTGTTTGTTTGTTTGTTTGTATGTGTGGGGTAGGGGTGTAAGTGGTGTGACCTCTGGCCAAAGGTTAACACTACTTTTTATTTATTGTTTTTACAGACAGGGTTTCTGTGTTAGTCCTGGCTGTCCTGGAACTAGCTATGTCTGCCAGGATGTCCTCCATCTCAGATCCACTTGCTTCTGCCTCAGAGTGCTGGGATCAAAGGTATGCACCAACATGCCTGATCTTCCGGCTTACGTTTTTGAGTCAGGGTCGCTCACTGAACCTAGAGCTCAGAGTCGGCTCCGCTGGCTGGCCAGTAAGCACTAGGGATCTTCTCATCGCTCCTTCCACCTCTGCCAGGGAAGTGTCTTCTGGGAGTTGTAATAACTCCAAGGGTGAATGTCCGGAAGCTCCCAGAGATGGTGTCCATGAACCAGGCGGGGATGGGGTACCACGCAGCTTCTGGCCAACTGTGAGAAGTGTGTGTTGAATTAATGGAGGTGATGGCAGAGGGATCCTGTTCCTTCTCTTCCTTTCTCAGGTTCCAGATCTATGCTCTGTTTTGTGTGTAGGGGTGTGTGGAGCCATAGAATGGCTGTTTGACTCCTGCCTGCTTGGAATCAATGATGCACATTGTGCCTTGCATGGTACAGTGAGTTTCCATCCCTGGACCGCAGGTTCTGCTTTGAGCTTTGTAGAGGTTTGTTCAACCGTTTAGATTTGGCAAGTATGCGAATGAGAACTTGCCTCCCACTTACCTGAGATCTGTCCTCCCGCTTTTTAGAATTTCCTTGAGAATGTCCTGCTTTGCGATTTTCACTGAAACTAGTTCCTCCCCCCAAGTTGCCCATTCTTACTCTTTCTAAGCTGTAACCTAAAGAACAATAAACCGAGACTTGATCAGAATTCTGTCTTGTCTCCATTCTTTGCATCTCCTGTTCCATCCCATTCCCACACCCCCCCCTCCAGGTTCCACGCTGACAGTCCTGTGGGTCGGGACATAGGGGGTACATGTGTGTCAGTGTGCAATGTCCTCTTGTCTCTGTACCCCAGATCCACCCAGCACTGGGGTTATAGAAGCAGTCTGTCACGCCCACCTCATTGCATGAGTACTGTTGTCTGTTCTCATGCCTGCTCAGCAGGGGCGTCACTCACTGAGCCATCTCCCCAACCTCTTTCTTGATTTTTTTTTTTTTTTTTTTGAGACCTGGTCCCCTCACTGTTAGCCTAGGCTGGCTCAGTCTCTTAGGCCTAAGTGATCCTCCTCCTCCTTATTCTTCTGAGCAGCTCCAGCCTATAGGCTCATGACACACATTTGGCATGGGGGTCTGAAATTGTCCTGGTTATTGCTCTATCCAGACGATACGTGGATTGTCCTGTCTTGCAAGCTTAATCCTTCATATGTAATTGGAACCTTTGGTGGCGTGAGATAGAACCCAGGGCCCCCTGCATGGTATTTGTATACCCGTCTGCGGAGCTACACCTCCAGCCCCTACTGGAACCTTTAAAGGAGAGGTCTAGTGAAGGCAGTGAGGCCAGTGCGGCTGCTACATGGAAGAGGGATTGGAGCTGGGCTCGAGTGGTTGCTTCCTGAGAGACTGCCTTAGCAAGTGAGCCTGGACCCCCCCCACCCCTCCCTAAGGGACATGTGCGGTTAATGGTTGATGTGGCCACCGGTTAAGGTGGTTGTGCTGCTGTAAGTCACCCGTGTTCTTGTTTGCAGCCCTAATGACATTCTTCAGTTTATTTTGAGCTTGCACGGGCTCCTGGTATCTCTCTCCACACACATGCACCACATACACACAACTTGAAAGTAGAAGAGGGCCTAGTTGGAAAGAGAATAGTGATTAGTGATAGTGATGGAGGAAGAGAGGGTAACAGGATAAATATGATGGAAATACAATGTGTGATCCATAAGTTACAATTAAAACCCACTCAGGTATAATTAATGTATATGTGAATGGTGGCCCGTGTTAGTATTTCAGCACTTAGGAGGCAGAGGTCAGAGGATTACTCTGAGTTCAAAGCCAGCCTAGGCTACAGAGTGAGTTCTAGATCAGCCTAGAGTGACTGCCCAAATGAAAGGCAACAACAACAAAAGAGAGACCAAGAGACTAAGCTTGAAATCAGCTTTTCATGTGGCTTCTCCTCTTGAACCCCTACCATGGTGCTGTCTGCCATGCGATGTTTCAGTCAAGAAGACATCAGGGCCCGGAGATATCAGCAGCATTCTCTTGGAAACCCCCCCCCCCCCCCCATTGTGAGCCATATAATTTTTGTTTTTTAAAATTTACCTTTTTTTTTTTGGAGACAGAGGTTCTCTGTGTGGTAGAGCCCTGGCTGTCCGGGAGCTCCCTCTGTGGACCAGGCTAGCCTGCCTCTGCCTTCTGAGTACTGGGATTAGAGGCATGTACCACTATGCCTGGCTCTACTTTTTTTTTTTAATGTTGCATTGATGTGTGTCTGTGTGAGCTTTGGCCACATGAGTGCAGTGCCCAAGGAGGCCAGAAGAGGGCATCAGAGCCCTGTCTGCTGTTACAGGTAGTTGTGAGCTGACCTTTGTGGTGCTGGAAATGAATCCCAGGGTCTCCACAAGAACAGCAAGTGATCTTAACCTATGAACCAACTCTTCAGTTCCCAAATCCTCTTCAGTTTACAAACACCATCTCAAGTGTGGTAACAGAAAACAGACTGAAACAGGGAGTTACTAGACCATCCCTCATAGTGTGATGTCATGATGAAAACTGTTGTTGAGGTGATTTATGAGGGGTGTGCTTTCAGGAGAAAAGATGGAAGTAGGGCAGCCTTGATACTGAAGGGAGACTGGTTTTAGTGGAGATTGGCTTCAGGATGATCCCGAGGGCAACACAGCTCAGACGGTACCACAGTCAAGAGGGGAGCCAGGCTTTGCCCCTCCAGGCCTCATGTTTCTGTCAGTTACTGGCAGGGACAGTGGTGAGTTATCACCTGACAACAGAAGCAGCAATGGGATGGTACACCACCGGTACTAAAGATTTGGATAAAGGGCTGAAGAGATGGCTCAACAGCTAGGAGTGCTTGCTGCTCTTCCAGAGAATTCAGGTTTGGCCCTCTGGAACCCATGCCAGGTGGCTTACAACTAACTCTAACTCCTGCTTTAGGGGATCTGATGCCTTTGCTTGACCTCCACAGGCATATGCATGCACACACATACAAACAAACACTGACAGTCCTGGCTAGTTTTATGTCAACTTGATACAAGCTGGAGTCATTTGGGAAGGACTCTCAGTTGAGAGAATGCCGGCAGAAGATGAGTCTGTGTGCAAGTCTGTAGTCCATTTTCCTAATTATTGATTCATCCCATTGTGTGTGGCGCAGTCCCTGGATGGGGAGCGTGCCCAGGATGCTAAACGAAAACAGGCTGAGCAAACCGGAAAGCACCTGTAGGCAGCACTCCTCCATGGCCTGTTTCAACTCTCTCCAGGTTCCTGCCCCGACTTCCCTGGGTAGTGAACTACAAGATGTAAAATGAAATAATCCCTTTTGCCCGGTGTGGTGGTGTACACCTATAATCCCAGCACTCGGGGAGGCGGAGGCAGGCGGATATCTGTGAGTTTGAGGCCAGCCTGGTCTACAAAGAAAGTCTAGGACAACCAAGACCCTGCCTCAAAATAAAACAAACTCTTTCCTCCTCAAGTTGCTTTTTGTTCGTGGTGTCTTATCATAGTAATAGTAACCCTAACTAACTCACACGAATGCACGCACAGACACTTTCAAACCAAAATGGAGTCATGGCTCAGTGGGTCAGACCATGTATTACTATTAAAAAGAACCTGTTCCAAACACCCACTTTGGTTGGGTCGCTCATACTGCCCCACGCTCCAGCTCCAGGGAATCCAGTCTCTTCTGGCCTTTCTTTTTTGGCATCTGCACAGATACGCACATACCCTACAAGACACATAATTAAAAGTAGAAGTGTTAGGGGTTGTTCTGATGCTAATTACTAGCCCTCAAGATCTGGTTACTGCCTGAATACACCCATCCTTGTTGTGTAAACCTGCCTAAGACATTATTCCTGATTGGTTGATTAAAAAGCCTAAAACCTGGGCAGGGCAGAATGGGGTAGGTGTGGTAAGGTTCCGGGGCTTTGGGGAGGTGAATCACAGGAAACAGAACACCGAGATAGGTTAGCGTGGGGAAAGAACCACATTGGTCAGAAGGACTCCTATAATGGCGTGGAAAGGCCCAGATGAAGAATAAGCAAGTATTACAAGATGATGGATGGAAGATAGCCCAGGTGAGGATGGCTTTGGAGGGGGCTGGAAAGTGGTTGTGCGGTTATTGGGATAGGTGGAATTATCTTCCCAGCCCAAGGAGTTTTAAGGCAAGTATAAAATTAACAGGTGTCTGTGTTTTATTTGATTGGGATAGCAGGTTAAATAATACTGCCGTGATAATTATAGGGCAAATAATAAATAACAGTATTTAGCCCAACACCCCATAAATTTACAACAACATAGAAGTAACAGGAGGTAGTGGCGAATGCCTTTGATCCCAGCAGGCAGATCTCTGTGAGTTCCAGGCCAGCCTGGTCTACAGAGCAAGTTTTAGAACAGCCAGGACTACACAAAGAAACCCTATCTTGAAAAACAAAAACAAGCTGGGCAGTGGCGGTGCATACCTTTAATCCCAGCATTCAGGAGGCAGAGGCAGGTGGATCTCTGTAAATTCAAGAAAGCCAGCTTGGTCCGCAGAGCAGGTTCCAGGACAGCCAAGGCTTCATAGTGAAACCCTGCCTCAGGAAAAAAAAAATTAAAAATACAGGGGAGCAAGGCACAACTCACAGATGGATTGTGAGTTCCAGGCCAGCCTGGTCTATAGAGCAAATTTTAAACCAGCCAATGTTACACAGATACTGTCTCAAAACTCAAAATGGATAAATAAATGAAAAATGGCAGGAAAAACATTATAGAGAGGAGAACTTCTGACTATAATACATACAATGAAGAAAATAAAACTAATACAGAAAATAACTTTAGGACAGGTGAAGGGTGAGAACTCATTGATGTCTTTTATTATTGGTTTCTCAGTGTAGCCCCGGCTTTCCTGGAGCTCACTGTAGTCCATGCTGGCTTCCAACTCAGAGATCCATCTGTTCCTGCTGGGATTAAAGGTATAAGCCACCACTGTCTGGCTTATTGGTGTTTCTGTTGTTGTCATTGTTTGTTTTGTGTAGCCCTGGCTGTCCTGGAACTCTATCTGTAGAACAGGCTGGCCTGGAACTCAGAGATCTGCCTGCCTTTTCTTCCCGGATGCTGGGGTTAAAGGCTCGTGCCACCACCACCTGGAGAACTAATTTAGACATGGTATTCAGAGAGGGCCCTTAATTATCACGCCTAAGTCTGTAGGATGACAATGAGGAGACCACGTTGAAGATCTGTGGGCTAGAATGGGAAGGTACGGTATGTGCCATAAGTGAAGGCCATGTTTGGGACAGAGGAAGGAAATGAAACTGCACCAAATGACTGTCTCTTTGGCCTTTCTAACCTCAGTGGTTTCTTCTTAGCTTCCTTAGTTAACTCACCCTCTTGCATGCCCTAGGAGGGGTTGTACCCAACCCCAGGGAAATGCTCAAGCATAGCAGGTGGCAGCACAGCTTTCCGGAAGTTTCTTTAACTTTTTGCTGGCCTTGAACTCCTGGACTTGGCAAGCCCTCAGGGGCTGCAGACACGCATCTGCTCTGTCACAGTTTTATTGAGGTATAATTGACCCAATAAACTACGTTTGTAATGTCCAGGTCAGCATCTTTTGATAATGTATGTGGCCTCACCTCCAAAAGCACATAGTAATAAAAATATGGTAAAGGTTTTCGTTGCCTGCAGAAGTTATCTGCTCTCATCACTGTAGTTAACAAGTCTGTTGGAAC